TATCAATTGCATCAAAAAACTTATCGATGCTCTTATAAACGAAATTAAAGAAATAATTCAAAACTATTATTAAGGCAAGCAAAATCAAAGAGAATTAGATGAAACGGATAACCGAATTAAATAATAATATTATTGGCCCAATTAAAGAGTTTCTATAGAAGCTTATATTAACGAATGCGAAATATACCTAATAACAAAATATGGTAGAAATCCGATAAAGCCAACATTTAGAATTACTCCTAGAGCAATTAAGCCATTTCAGATTTTACATTTAGATTCTATAACTCTTGAGAAAACCAAATTTCTAACGTTAGTCGATTCCTTCTCCAAATATATCACAACAACTTAATTCTGCTCAAGATATCACCTAGCTAAGGTTTTGGATTAGATACTTCACTCATCATTGTATTACAAATCATTTCAGACAATAGTACAAAACTAAATAATTCATTAGTCTCTACTGACTTATGGCATTACACAAGATAAAAATTCACTTTATCTCTTCCCAGCATCCAGAATCAAATGATGTAGCCGACATATTTCATTCATCAATTATAGATCATATCAGGTTGCTAAACAATCCCAATAGAACAAAAAGTAAATTATGCCTTATTGACATAAAACGATAGTATTCAATCAGTAACAAAAATGATGCAGAAGCGGCATTGGGAATGAGTGGAAAGTATACGAGGAGCTAATTAAATAGAGAGTGAGTATAATGCACTCCATTACCGACGGTGAAAAAGCTTGGAGAGAGTCATTAAAGAAGCGATGGAAGGAAGCAAGATTGATCGCCAAGATGTCAACAGGATGTCATATTGGTGGAATGAGAATAAGAAATGTATGTATAGCAATGAGAAGAAGGTTGAGCAAGAGGCAGAGCAGGAATCAACCCTGAGGTCATCGAGGAGATCGAGGAAGAGTACCACGCAAGGAAGAGGGAACTGTACAGTAAAATCCGTACAGAAAAAATAAGGCACTGGAAAGAGCTGTGTGAAAAGCTAGATGAGGACATCTGGGGTCAAGGATACAAGATCGTCATGAAGAAGTTCCCTGCGTATCCTCCTTACGAAATGCCTATGGACAAGAAGCTTCAGGTAACAAGAGAGCTCTTTCCGGACGGCAGATGGCATGGTGTATGGAGGGATGAAGGAGCTGAGCGCACTGTACCCTTTACCATGGATGAACTTGTCGAGGCATTGGGTTCGCTCAAGGCTCGTAGGTCCCCCGGACTGGATCAGATTCCACCTGAGACAGTAAAGGGTCTAGGACGAGTGGAGCCTGCGTGGCTTCTGGAACACATGAATGCATTGCTGGCACGAACCTTTCCTAAGCATTGGAGGACATCGAGGTTAATACTGCTTCCCAAAGCTAGGGAAAAGTATCGCCCCATCTGTCTTCTTCCATGCATCAGTAAGCTGTATGAAAGGATGCTGCGAGTAGGCGTAGACGACACGATTGAGAGGTCAGGTGGTTTATCTTGGGAGGCAATTTGGTCATGAGTATACTCGAAGCATTGCGTAACAGAGGGGATGAACATCGTTGGGCGGCCCTGCTGTTGTTTGATGTTAAGAATGCATTCAATACACTGCAGTGGAACGAGGTAATGAAGGCAAAGGAGGAGAGAGAATGTCCAGGTTACCTGATGAATGTGGTGGCGGAGTATCTGACCGAGAGAAGTATTATGGTGGAAAAGCGCACAAAAGTGAACGTGACGGCCGGGGTACCCCAGGGCGGGTACCCCAGGGATCTGTCTTGGGCCCGACACTATGGAATCTGGCATATGACGGGGTTATGCACAGTGAATACGGCGAGGGTACAATCCCTTTTGCATTCGCGGATGACCTCGCTGTACTGGTAGTGGCCCGGAATGAGACAAATTTCAAATACCGGGTTCGGAACGTAGGCCACGTAGTAAACAAATGGATGACGCAGCACGGACTGAAACTTGCGACAGAGAAAACTGAAGCCATCATTCTAAAGGGTACAAGGAACCGGCAAAGTATTGAATTAAAATGTGCGGGAGCATGTCTAACGCCCAAGAAACAAGTAAAGTATCTAGGAGTGACATTGCATCAGAAAGGAAAATGGGGGGAGCTCGTGCGGGAGGTGGTCCGGAAGGCTGCGAATAGTGCGGCTGCATTGGGGAGGGGTGATGCTGAACATTGGAGGACCCAAATCCGAAAGGAGGAGGGTCTTAAACGGTGTTGTACAGTCGATCGTCCTCTACGCGGCACCAGTCTGGAGCGAGGCGGTAGAGATAACGGCCTATAGGAGTCTCATAACAGGAGTGGACAGAACAAGTCTGTTGCGAGTGGCATGCGCCTACAGAACTGTGTCTGCGGCAGCCTTATGAAGCATCACTGGATGTGTTCCGTTGCATGTTTTGGCGGTGGAAAGAAAAGAGCTTTATGAGAGAAGAGACCCAAACGTTACTGTAGTCGAGACAAAACAGGAAAGGGAAAGGTCAATTGAAAGATGGTAAGAACAATGGAACAACACGGAGGATGTGGCACAGTGGACGAAAATGCTGATCCCAAACATAAGAGATTGGGTGGACTGTGGCCACAGGCGACTGGATTATTTCCTGAAGCAGGTGCTCACACGACACGGGTGTTTTAAGGCCTACCTCTATAGGATCGGAAAGGCTGACACAGATGAATGCCTATACTGTGGATACTCGGACACTGTGACACATACAATGTTAGATTGAAGGAGATGAATAGTGGAAAGGAACAGAATGGAGAGAGACAGGTGTGAATTTTGTTATAGTGGGAGAAATGATTGAGAGAATGATTGAAAAGAAATCAGGTTGGACTAACATACACAGCTTTATCCGTGCAGTGATCAAGAAAAAGGAAGAGGAAGAAAGACAGCAAGGTAAGAGTGAATGATGCTAAAAGGTGAAGCTAGAAAAGTGGGTCAGACTGTATATTAGAATGCGTGAGTCAGACTGTAGGGAAGGAGGAAACGCCCGTCTGGGAATGATGCCGAACTAGGAGCGATAAGAGTCTTCTACGCGTTACCTGGAACGAGATAGGGAGCCTCCTTGCTGATGAATAGAGTGTGGATGTGTATGAATGGCGAATGAATGAATAAAGGTAGTGAGTCGGAAGTGATGCCCGCCTTACAGCGGCCATTCCGCTTCCGGATCGCTACCTCGGGAACTATCACCGGGAGTACGAAGAACGAATCCTGCACTAAGGTTAGTCAGGCGGCGTCCTGGACTGAGATGTCTTTTGAAGATTCCAGACCCCCCTCTATAAAGATAAAAAAAAAGTAACAAAAATAAAACCCTATGATTTAGTTACGGGACATTTAGAAAACAACTCTCCATTCAATATTGACCTAGAGCAATAATTAATTACTAATTACATTTCTAATCTTAAAAATAAAATAAAATTACTGTGCTCCAGTTTTAACGAAAAGTACCTACCGAAGTATTTATGCGAAACAGACAACAGACGAACGAAAAACTTATATTTTACCAGGTTCATCATAATCAGACATACAATAGCCGAAATAAAGGATATCACCTCTAACCTAGGCAATCTACCTATAAATTTAAGACCTGCAAAACTCAAAAAAATCTAGTCACACAATTATACATTTTTATAATTTAAAGCCCAAAAGCCCATCAAACATCTTACTGGAGGATGCCAGTCATTTCTTGGAAGTGAATATAAGGAAAGGTATGACTCAGTAGGAAAGATACTCCAGCAAGAGACAGCTAAAAAACTAGAACTTTTACAAACCAATATCTCCCCTTATTATCAATATATCCCTTACATTATGCTCGAGAATGACAACTATAAGCTATTTTGGCACCGTACTGTGCTCACAGATAAGCCAGTGGCACATAATTTACCTTATCTCAAACTAGTTATTATATTAACTAGAAAAGCAACGCTTATTGATGTGAAAACACTTATCGAAAATAATCCGCGTATAAAATACAACGAGAAAATCTCTACTTATAGAGATCTTGATATACAAATAAGGAGACGACGGACACGAATGTCCAGACGATAGCTATGGTATCCAAACTACTGGTGTAATTCCGAATAGCCTAATAGAGAATATCAAACAGTTGGGACTTAGTGAACATTTCTATAAGATCGGTACTGGTCGCGACATCCAGATTTTCTTCTTATTCTTTCGCATTATAAGCAATTCTGCTTGTTAATTTGCGGATTGATACCTTTATGGAAGGTTGCTACTCCGTCTTTTGCGCGGTCCTCGTTACTCGTAGAAAAACTATCGTGCGCGATAGTTTTTCTACCGATTGGTGGTTTATATCTCGCTCTTTAGACCATACGGATCTCCCCATTCTGCTTTTGTGGTTATTCCATTCTTTTTTCTGTTTAGTGTCCACTCGTTTATAGACTGTACTTAAAATTTTCTTCGAATGTCTTCACTTTTAGACATCCAAATGTATCATAAAATTTGTAGAGAATATTTCAGCAAAACAGCTCACCTAGGGCTTGATAACACAGAATAAGTCCCACAGAGCTCAATTCTTTTGATAATGTACTTTTATGGAACGACCAAATTTTCCCTCTACAGGGAGTGAGAGTTGAATAAGATAAATAAATATGTGTAGACCAGATGTAGAAATAATAAACCAACTTTAATTAATTAACTCATAGAGATACCTTGGGTTCTCTGACACTCACTCTTCTCAAAATAAATTAATGTAGCATATTCTCAACATGTATTGCACTTTAAATGCTATAGGTAAACCTAAAAAAAAATAATAATAACCATAACAAGGAACTAGATAGCATCATAAAAAATTAGAATCTGAAAGTTTAATATCTTACAATAGAGCATGAAATTTTTAAGCTTATTTTGTTATTCGTCTTTCAACTTACTGTTTAAAATATAAAATAAAATAGTAGTGCGTAGTGCAGTTAAAGATGAAAAAAAAAGTAGTTGAAAGATGAATCTACTGTTAAATGTATTATTACAAGAATAACAAAAAATATTTTTTCACGTACCATTTCATTGGTTGAGGGACCTAATGTTTCTGGTTGGAAGCTCTTTGAATTATCAACCATAGTGCGAAGACCAATTTTCTCTGACATTCCCCAGTCTTTCACCATATGCGTAGCAATAGATGTCGCTTGTTTCAAATCTGAACTAGCGCCTAAGAAAATTGAGATTACATATATTATTATATACTTAAAACTGACGAGAAACTAAATGATTCCGGTTTAAATAAAGCAAACCATAGTTCATATAATATTTATTCGTGACTTGTTATATTCGTAATTGTTTAATATATACAATATTTAACGTGTCTAACGTATTTAATGTTAAAATCTCCATATACTGGATATTTTAAATGTTAGCTAACAGTTGTTTTGATACGATATCTTCTTAAAGATAATAGTATGTAGTATTATACTGGAATGGATAAGCACTGTTTCTCCCTCTCTCTTTCCCCCTCTCTCTCTCTCTCTCTCTCTCTCTCTCTCTCTCTCTCGATATATATATATATATATATATATATATATAATATATATATATATATATATATATATTATATATATATATATATATATATAATATATATTATATATATATATAGCAAATTTGCAGCAAATTCATTAACAAACTTAATTTTATTTCGCGAGTTACTACTTTCTACAATTATTCGTGCCACTTTTTCAGATGATTCGTATTTTTAGGTTAGCTCGTGAAAATAACTGTAAACACAATTGAAAGGTCGAGTAACAACGTGGAACAGTTCCAGTTGTTCTCCGAGTGCAGAGGTTCCCTCTCACCCGGCTCTGGAACCCAATTGGCCATGTGTTACCTATAGTCAAATTTAATTTAATATTGAACATCACAGTTATTTTATAACACAATGTACAACATTTCATAACTAAATGTAATTTAAAGGGTTTTTACCCTAATATTTTGGTGGCTCAGGCATTATGACCTAGCATTTTCGATTTTAATAACCTGATAATGGACTGTGTGGTCCGAAAACGTTTGTTTTATTGATGTGGCCCTTTTAAGGGTTTTTTAAATAAATATACCCATTTACAAAGATTAACCTCTTTTTGTTATACGTGGTATACAGCCAGCTACAGGAATTTTTCCTTGTGGATTTTATTTTAAAAAATAGTTCTCTAAGTGCCCCTGTTTATTGACTCCAGCCCATCCAAACAGTTTTATTTTTTCCAAACGAGTCAATAAGTACTTCTCCCTTTTTCTTATAATATATATATACATGTAAAAGATTAAATCTTTTAGCAAAAGCTGCTATCGCTTTTTTAAATTAAATGGCCAAATATATGGCCTACGAGGACAAATTCGTTAAATTTCCCGTGCTCAAATCGGTATCAATAAAGTGTTATGATCATTTCGGCCTATCACAGGCTCATCAGACACTTGGGCTGATACAAATTCAACCTCGGAAAGTCCAACGAATGTCTCCCAAAACTTCACTAAAACAGTAGTTAGCGTACAAAGGCGCCACCTGCTTTGGCAGCAAAAGCAGGTGGGGCCTTTTTACGTACACTTTATTGATACCGATTCGAGCACGGGAAGCTTAACGAATTTGTCCTCCTAGGCCATATATTTGGCCATTTAATAAATATATATATATATATATATATATATATATATATATATATATATATAATTGGTTTAGAACGAACATCTTACGACGCTGACTGATAACCAAACACCATTCCATCCTATTCTGCCACAGGTCGTCTCTGGGTTCTCTCGCGCTTATCATTTTGCGGATTCTGGCCGTAAAACTAGTTTCCATTTATCTTCACTTCCTATGTTTAGAAGGTTGCCATTCCAGATATTATTTTGAGAGCTTCTACTCATTCATTCGGATCTCCTCATTCATACGATTTACGTACAAACCAGACCAACTGTCTTCTATATTTTTCATAATTGTTTCTTTTATTCACATCTTCTTCTTCATATACCATGTCCTTTCAGAACGTTGGTTACCATCATAGCTATCTTAATTTTATTCACTGTCACCCTAAATAGCATGTTTGTATCAACACCATACCAATCTCGCAAGTTCTTCAACCATGAGGTTCTTCTTCGCCCTGGACTACGTTTGCCTGCTATTTTTCCTTGCATGATATTTTGTAGCAACCTATATTTGGGACCTCTCATTACATGTCCGAAATACTCCAGCTTTCTCTGTTTGATGCTTTTTATGATCTCAGTTGTCTTGCTGAAACGTTCTAGTATTGTGGAGTTTCGAATCTTCTCCACCCAGGAAACTTTTAAAATTCTTCTATAGCACCACATTTCGAAAGCCTCAAGGCGATTTAGATCGATTTTATTCAAGTCCAGGACTCGACACCATAAAGTAAGACCGAGAACACGTAGCAGCGAAGTAGACAGATCCTCAATGTCAATGTTAGGTCTCTGTTACATAACACCTTAGACATCCTTCTAAAAGCAGCTCTAGCCTGCTCCACCCTAGATCTAATTTCGCCGTGACTTTCTGCGTTACAATTTAATTGCTGTCCAAGGTAAACACATCCCCATTAGTAATGTGATATTCGAAGAGTTCGTCGATATAACCACATTTCTAATTAAATCATTAAAAAAATGTTATATGTATAAACACTATGTATTACATGGATATAATAAATCTTGAACTGCTTATATTTCTCTTTTATTTCATATTACTTTTTAAGACTTTGGGGACATAATATGTCTGATTCCTCCTGATTTTAGAGAAATTTCAACTTAAAATATCACTACGTTATAGTACACGAATAAAATAACAAGGAAGCATTTAAATATTGTCTTGCAATTTTAGGCCATGAAATAAAAATTCATACCAAGTACAAAACAAATTGATTAGAACCATTTGTTGTTATCCTACTACATAACAATATCAAACCAAAGCAGCGTTATGTCGTAAGTTGTACGTGTAGATATGCGAAAGTAGAAAAGTTAAAAAATTTTCGTTTTAAGTTTTACAAAAGAACCGTGGTAGGATAAATAATATTGAACATAAACATTTAAAAATTTCAAGAAAATATGTACCTGAAGTAATTTTTTCTGGTCCAAAAATGAGTTCTTCGGCAGCCCTTCCGCCCATCATAGTATCCATCATAGCCAGCAACTGGGATTTTGTTATGTGATACCTTTCCTTTTCTGGAATGTACGCAGTATGTCCGAGGCTAGGTCCTCTGGGTATAATGGTTACCTTATGTAATGGATGACTATCTTTCGTATAATAAGCTACAATCGCATGTCCTCCTTCATGGTATGCCGTTATCATATTCGCTTCTTCGTCGGGTATACGGGATTTTCTTTCAGGTCCCATTAAAACTTTGTCTCTGGCCGATTCCAAGTGTTTCATGGCAACAAAATCTGCTCCATCTATCGCCGCTCTATTTTAAAAACTAATTTAATATAACATACATTTAACACAATTAAAAAAATACGAGTACTGGGACCCGCCTAAGGATGTGATTAATAGATGAAACTAAGCATTAACCCAATAATTCCAACAAGTTTTCAATCAAACTATTATTTTAGCGAATTTATAAGTATTATAAAAGTCCTGATCCATGAATTCTATGGATCTATGAATTTCAGTTACAAAAATTCTTAGCTGAACAAGTTAAAACCACATTAACATGTATTTGTATACTTGGCAACAACTCGGTAACAAACTAATAAACTTGCAACCAAACTTTGAAGATCTTCTAACAACTGGTGCCTGTAGAAAGATAACATATAAACAAGAAAAAAAGAGGAACATATTTACCAAATTTCAGGACTGTACGAGTTTTCGTTCAAAACAAATGAAAAGCTTAAGAATATGAAAATAGATGATCAGCTTACCCCAAATTCACAAGGATTTTTCCTTATTCTAAAAGAATTCTATGTACTACGTTTCAAGAGTAGAATATTTCTTTAAAGAAAAATAAAAATTAACAAAATATGAGAAGAAGAAAATAACCTGTTCGTCCCAAGATGAAAAAGGTTATTTCTTACACCAAGAATAACCTGTGTACAAATTTTCAAGGTTCTACCACTTTTCCTACTTTTCCTAGAGATAAGAATACTCTTTACGCCAAAAGGCATCTATGTACTAAATTTCAAGGCAACAAGAGTTTTCTTTTAATAAAAGAAAAACGATAAGAATCAGAAAAAAAGAAGTGCTGTTGACTTTGCTTTCAATAAGGTTCGTCCTTACATCAAGGGGAACTTATATACCAAGTTTCAAATCCAAGTTGAATTCAAATACAATATAGGGTTTTCCCTTAGATCAAGAACATATGTACCAAGTCTCAACTCTCTAGGACGTCCTCAATAAAAAAAGGCAACAAAAGGAAATAATACAATAGTCTATTAATAAAGGGTTGGCCACTCACCCTGATATTTGGAAGTATTCATTGGATTTAGTGAAAATACTGAAATGGATCGATTTTTATTACAAAGGGGCCATATTTTAAGATAAAGATAATCTGTCGTTTATCAATCCCTCCCTTCAAGTAGCCAAACTCTTAATTTTAAATAGTGAATAGACTATGTGTGAAACATGATTAGATAGTCATTTCGCTGGAGAATTCAGGCACTCATGATTTTACTTTTTCATATTAACTCTGTTCTTGTGAAAAGGTATTAATTTATTATAAGTGTCACACCTCTTAAAACTAAACGTAACGCCTATGTTTTGCTAGTGTGGGCCCCGCAGACTGCAGACTTTTTATCGGCCGATAGTTTAGTCGGGTTGGGCTGTTAGTACGTTCACCGAGCTAACTAAACAGTCGGGTTGGTGAAGTGGACGTAGACTAGCAACAGCCGGCCGACTATTCACGAACGATACAGTACTAACGTTCGTATCGGCCAATACTGAATCAGTGTAATACATACCTCTCCAGAATCCCGGAATAAATTCTGGAATCCATTGTAAGGTGTAATTAAGTAAGAAAGTGATAGTCGACTCTGTCAGAACACTAATTTTAAAGTGATGCAACATATCCATGCACGCTGTCTTGACTGAAATAGTAATTTTGGAATGTTTTACCATTTGTATAATTTTCTAGCATATCAGCACTTTCGCTGCGGAACTTTATTTCAGAACGTTCTCCTATGCTAAATGAACTTTTGATAGTACATGCAATGGCGCCGTCCGCACAGAATGAGAAATAAGAAAGACGCTATATGGCGTCTAATAATCTCAGTTCATATAACCATGATAATGATAAACTGTAATACATACCTTAAAGCTGCTTGATTGACCATATTTTCTAGATCTGCTCCCGTAAATCCAGTCGTACCTCTTGCTAACAATTCTAGATCTATATCCTTAGCTAATATTTTACTTAAGTATAAGCCCAATATTTCTTTACGACCTGTATAGTCAGGTGTAGGAACGGTAACCTAAAATTATAAAATTCAGGGTTAAAAGTTATATTCTTGCTATTTTTTTTTTCAGTATTTTATTAATTATTCAAATGAATATGTACTCGAATCCATCATTTTACCCATTTCTTCCAGAAAATATTTCAGACAATAATGAAATACTAACTCTAATTTAAATATTATTTTTATATGGGATTAAACCAAAAAGATTATTTTAAAATCATGAGTTGTATAACCAATAGTTGTTTGATGGGTATTGTTTGCCAAATTGACGGGTTACACTTGTCTCGATCTTGTAGGTAAATAGTCATACTTTTAGTTGAACATTCTGAGGGTGGTGTTTGTACAAAACAAAACTGTTAGACACAAAGCATGGATATTTGCCTACAAGGTCAAGGCCAAGTAAATCACCCGCCAATTTGGCAAACAATATTGCCAACCAACTATTGGTTATAACAGCAGCTCATTATTTTAAAAATAATCTTTTTTGAAAACGATTACCAGAATGTCGAAATCAAAACGTCAAATATCAATTATAAAACGTAATTTTCATTGCAATCAATTGTGGCTTAATCCCATATAAACATAATATTTAACTTAGAAATACTGCAAGAAAACAGTTTCAGAACCTTTTTAACTAAATCTAATGTTTTATTATAAGCATCCCTTAAAACCCTTACTACAACCTCCTAGAAAACGTCTCCAGTCTGAACAAGGTTATCATAAAAGGAGACTTTAACGCCAGGCACACACAATTTGATGATACAATACATATCGAAGCAGGGTTAGCCTCAGTGACCTTCTCTGACTGCCCCTTCCTCTTATCAAATTATTACATTCATATAATAATATCTTATTCAAATTAGTAATATCTAAATTTAGAGTTTCACTCCTACAGCTCGAATACTCCAAGGTTCCAGTCTTATATACCAGATAACGACTTACGTCATTATCTACGTCAGAGATCGAAGTTGACGTAGTTGCCAAAGTATAAAAAAATCCTGACTCCATTTTAAATCAAATAGATTACATAATTATTGCAAAAGTATTACCATCTCTTTACAACGACTATTTAAATTCTTACGTGACATTTTTGAAATAAAACACACTAATTTTGTTCTAAAAAGAACAGACTTTATTAAATAGTTAAAAATATAACACAAGAGATATTCACTTTAAAATTCAAAATAATGAAGTACAAAAAGTGTCAACACCGCAACTGTCAAATAAGTGTTACCAATTTATGCCAAAATTTTAGCTTTGTTCGATTACAGTTACAGTGTGTTCCGAACAAATGCTCTTGATAAAAACGCTTTATAATGCATTTATATAAATTAAATGGAACATATTATTGTGTATTTCTTTAAGTTAACATTAATATAAATTTTTAAATATTATTTCTACGCGTATATAATAAAATATGTCTAGTGGCTGTAATGCCAGTGTACTCGGTAAAGTGATTCTAAAAAAAACACACCTACACCCTAAATATTTTGTGTTGGTATTATGTGACGTCACAGGCTATGACGCCGATGACGTGCATCGTTATATAAATTAGATGAAGTGTATATATATAGAATCAAGTCACAGTCTTGATCGCTGGCTGAGCGACTGGGCATGCAGTGATCTTGACTGTACCGCGACTGCGACTGTACCGTGCCCGTGCGTAGGAATTACCTCATTGGAAAACCACAGAGGCAATCTTGACTGTACCGTCTCTGACAATGACATGACTGTTGGTCTGAATCGACCTTAATGTGTGTGTGTTCAAAGACGGAGATGGCATTATGGCACCTTTTTGCCACAAATATCTTGAAAATTTTTGGTGTAACATTAAATATTTATTTTAAAGTTTTTACGGAACCATATGATCATTAATAGTTTTGGGATGATGATAATGATGATAGACAAGAACTAGATTAATGAGTTAAATGTAAGATATGTATAATGGTTATATTATCTGCAATTATTATTATTTGCACAATATGTGTAAAATATTTCCATTTTTAATGGCATTCCTATAGTAATATAAACATTAATTGTTAAAATATCTAACTCCATTGATAAATGACCGAATTCATTAAATAAAAAAAAATAATTACTTCTACATCGAATCTACCCGGTCGTAAGAGAGCTTGATCCAGATCATCCCTTCTATTAGTGGCCCCCAATACAATGACTCCTTCATTTTGATGGAAACCATCCATTTCACTGAGTAATTGATTAATAGTTTGATTAGCATATGGATGTAAAACACTATTAGTACGTTTTGAACCTACTGAGTCGATTTCATCGATAAATATCACACATGGGGCACGTTTTTTCGCTGCCTCTGCAAAAATAAAAATAAATACCATTACTACAATAATTATTATTAAAGCACAAATAAAAATAAATATAGAGTATTATGAAAATTAAACTTTTGGTTAAGTTTGTTGTTATACGCCACACATTTCTTTTTTACTACATCACACACTGGGATGAATTGCTGAAAACATGGTCAAAAGTCTAAATGTATATAAATTTGGATATCAATGTGTACTGTAAGGTTTTCAGCCTTGCTTATTACGAATTTGATGTCAAAATTGAAAAATTTAAAATGGTCGACCCAATATAGGGACCAAATTTCATATGGGGATTTTTTGGACATAAACAGATACAAAAAAGTTTTTGACCTCGCTGATTACGAATTTGATGTCTAAGTAGAAAAATTCAAAATTGCGAATCCAATATGGCGGACAGATTTCATAAAATTTGTATTAATGGGACACAAATCGGTAATGGAAGGTTTTGATACTTCCAATACCGATCAGGCAGTGATCTGCATGTGTGTTGTATACTTTGTGTTGTACAGGACTATTTAAAAGTGGGATTTAACCGATATTTTCTTCCTTCCGTTTTATTAAAAAATTATATGTATACACAACAACGGCTAGCTCCGTGACATCCATCTCATAATTGAAGTGAAAAATAAATGTAGAAAGCCTGGCCGGACATGCCGAATGTACGTAGAAGCAGCAAGTTGCTGGTCGCACTATAGGTCGGACTCCATGCGGAAAAGGTCCGACCAGTGGTCGTGGCCGGAGTCGCTGTTCTGTGCGTTAGCTCTAAGATGGTTCTCGCTTCTTGTAATAAGCTTTTTCTGATATTTGGTTATTGCTAATAATGCTGCTGCAATTATATCGGGCCCATGGGCCAGTAATTAGTGAACTTTGGTGGGTATATTGTACCAGGGATATAGTTGAACCAAGTACCTGGATATTTCTGTAGTATACTTCCGAAATTTTTCTATATCAATTTCTTCCCCATTCGAAATTCTTTGTAAAATAATATGAAAACGATGGATCAGTTCTTTTGTGTTTCACATCGTTGTCTTCGGATTTGAACGCTTACCACTTTTGTCTGCCACTTTCGAATTCGAATCCATGCATGTAGAGTGACAAACCTAGTTTGCAAAATGATCAGCGTTTACTGCTGTTTTTAATATTGCGTCAATATTGTTCAACTTGATGTTACTTCGCATGAGTCATAACGATGCTAAGATTTTGTTCCAGTAATGTTCCAAAATTTCATGTCGGTTCCTTCACTGTTAGGAGTATAAAGAAACTCATAAATCTCCGAAATAAAACCTTCAAGCCGGTCTTTATGACACCCGATTATATAATATTCAGTATAGAAGGCTACGGGGTCTATTTATTATACGTCATTGTTATAAAATATAAAATATGATCTCTTCCCATAATTTACACCCATAAATCAAAGATCATTACTGAAAGTAAGATGTGACATATAAAAGACCAGACAAATGTGAATTCAACGCACTAATGTCATTATCAAATTTTATATTAGGTTTTATTATTAGATATAATTTTACATTATGATCACTCCTGGCCAAGGAGATACCAAACTCTACAGTAAAGTTGATCACCCTGTACCAACGGTTTTAAAGCGATATTAAAAATACAATTTACCCAAAAAATAAAAATTATTGTGTCTAAATCCTGGACAGATTTTTGAAAAGAAAAATGATGTAACAACAAAAAAGACAAGTCATAGAAAAATCTCTTTAGAGAATTAAATTTTTTGTGACATTGGTTTCATTTGTGACCAATATACAAATACATTATACTTACTAAATAAATCTCTAACCCTTCTGGCACCTTGTCCAACTAATACTTCATCAAATTCTGGTCCAGCTGCATGAAAAAATGGTACACCAGCTTCTCCTGCCACAGCTCTTGCAAGTAATGTTTTACCAGTACCTGTTTTAGACAAATTAATTCAGTCAACAAAAAAAAAATTATAGAATATAGACATCAGATATTCAGTCAATCTGTAAATATTATCTGGATATCAGATGTGACTAATGCTTGTCCTGACCTGATATGTGCTTAGGATGCAAGTGATGAAATATTGAGCGATATGGAGAATCTAAAGTTCGAAGGCGAGAACTCTAATTATATGGAGGTAGTTGAAATAGCTGCAGTTAGTATTGTTTTTACTCTAGTCTTTACAGTAATAGGTACATACTTTATATACTCCATATATAAGCTCTTCCAATATGTTAAAGAGGGTCGCAAGATTGAAAATGTTCAACTTTTCAAAAACAATGACGTGTTTATTACCAATACTCAATTATTATGAATCAGTTGATTATTTTCATTTTATTTTGAAAACCATATTATAAAATTTAATTGTTCATGAAACAAAATATCTTTTCTTTGATGAAAAAATGGCCTCAGTCTATTATCTGAAGAAAGAACTGTCCCTAGTTAAATCGCTAGGTCTATGGAGAGATCGTTTGGTGTTTCATCAGTGTGTAGTATTAAATTAGTATAAAAGATGTATCTTAAAAATACTGAGATAAATACAGTATGTAATCCAAAACTATTAAACTGGGAGCTCAGTTGTTCAGTTCAGTCACTTAATAATTGTAATTCATTCATAGTCGGTATTCGTAATCAGGGATGTAAGCACGTAATTAATTAAATAAGTAATATCATCCAGTATAAGTTATCCCGTTGGAAATAGTAGTGAATAAATACGACACTTTACAACCTAATATATTCACCAATCCTCCTCTTCCAAGTAATCAAGATGTAGTTGCCTAGAGAAATATCGCCACTCCATTTAGGCATTAGTATGGGGACGATAATATATATCCATTAATACATTATAAGTGTATAAAAAATAAACTTCATAGATATGGAATCAAAATTTGGTAAATGTTAGTGTATATAGGAAAATTAGATGCCATTAGAGAAAAGGGCCAAACAACAAATGTGTATGTCTAAACAAAAAATTCTGCTTTAAATATTATGTTTATATGGGATTAATCCACAATTATTGGTTGTAATGTAATGGTTATAACCAATAATTTTGGCTTAATCCCATATAAACATAATATTTGAATTAGAAATGTCACAAGGAAGTAGTTTTAGAACATTGCTAAAAATATCTGTAACTGGATACTAAGCTAATACACTGTCTTCTTGTAGTATTTGCTGCATCGGAACTTTAAATTTGAACTAGCTGAATAATACAAATATGGTCAAATCTAAATGATGAAAAGGTTGATTCAGACAGGTCAATTTAAAAAAAAAATCATAGTATGCTGTGGCATCAAGTTTTTAACTTTGCATAATCCCTTTTCAGGTGAAAGTCACCATTTCAGTTTGTTGAAATCAGAAAGTACATTATGTGAAACCTGATTTAAAACCTCTTAAAATACTTATTCCAAAAACGATTAATCTCTTGATTCGAAATATACAGATTCTAAGATGTACAAGACAGTATTTCAATATGTACATTGAAACAATTTAATGTGTTTCTGCGATTTAATAGGTAAGTAAAAATACTTTATAAAGTCTAATTTATTATAACTAAATTAATGATAAAAAATATTTATCACATTGCAAGAACGTCTCAGCAACAAATACTACATACTAAAACATACAATAAAAAAATTGAAGAGCAATTGCCAGCTTAAAACTTATGTGAATGTACAAAGTGTTAAAAATATTCCCCATTTACTTCTTTGCAATAATATAACAATTCAGGACAATATATTCTGAGATAATTCATTAGTATCTTACTACAAAACTCCATCTTGTTAAAAATTTAACTTTTTATCTTAGTCTTCAACATATTTAGGTACATTTGACTATTTAAGTTAATGTCAATATATACTGTGCCTACTATATATTTACTGAATATGACTGTTCAAACATTTAGTTTTCTAGTGACCTTCTCGAAATAAACTGGGATTTTTATCAGATGAGTATCTAAAATTTTGTGGATGAACATGACCATTAAAAATGTATTGAAATAATCAAAGTACTGTGCAATATAATTTGTTTTACAATATTTCATTTGTTGTTTCATATATTATTTCTTGACCGATTTTTATTTTGTAGAGTTGGAATTTATTTTTCTTCTCAACCCTTAAAAGTTCCGGCATATTTCACAAATGTAAACAATAATTTTAGCAAAAGTAAACGGATTAAAGGCAACATAACTTATTAACACATAAATCAGTTTATCTACAGATATAAGTTTTCTTTCTGTTATATATTGTATATATGTATATTCTTCTATATTATCTTATATTCGTAATTCTGATGAAGTTCACCACAAATTGCGATAATTTTTTTTTCTAAATTACATTGTATTGCATTGCCAAATTAAAGGTTTTCGTTACATGACTGTCATATATAAAGGGATTATGCAAAGTTCGAAACTTTGATGCCATAGCATACTATGATTATGCTAGGTAACCGTGTACTGTGTGGTATATATATATATATATATATATATATATATATATATTATATATATATATATATATATATATATGGATTTTTATAATATAATTATTTGACAACCTTTTGTTGACCAACCACCTATAACGGAGTTGAGCCAAAACACATATATTTCATATGTTCCGAATTTAACTCGTTCAATCTGTATATATATATATATATATATATATATATATATATATATATATATATATATACAGATTGAACGAGTTAAATTCGGAACTTCGGAACCGAATTTAACTCGTTCTATATATATATATATATATATATATATATATATATTTATATATATATATATATATTATATATATTATACAGATTGAACAAGTTAAATTCGGAACATAAGATAGATTCTGGTGCAAAATAAATCTCGTCTACCCCTGCACCCGATTTACTGGACTGGAATGCTAATTTTAATCCTCTTTTATAGAATGTTCTAAAATTGTTAATTTTTTCTTATATACTCTTCATTCGCATCTTTGTTTACTTCTTGGAACTTTAAAACTAGAATGTCCATTTCCTGTTTTCGGACGTTTCTATCATGATATGTTTTACCTTTTATTCGCTATAAGCATTCTTGTTTTTTATATAATTCAAAAAACTCTCTTAAAAAATTTACGCTAAATCAAGCCATGTCGATTTTCTATAATATGATCAAAGCAAGTGTGAAGTTAAAAATGTATTTTTGCAGTATCAACAAATTGTAAACGGTCACACACGCTCAACAAATTGATAAGATCAACTCTGCAGTACTGCAGCAGACAGGCCAGTCTGTCTGCGGCCAAATTGTACGATTTCATTGGATGCACTGTCACACACGATCAAAATCCTTGTCAATTCGCCGAACTCGACGAAGTTGAACAACGCCGATGTATCGTGAGTTGCGGCTTTAGGCAAGCCCCTTTTTAGTTTATCTAAGCAGTCAGATTTTGAGTGGTGTTGCCAATCTAATTCCTCTAGATGTCTCTCAAATAACCATAAAATATTTACAGGAAAGAAAGGAAATAACCACAAACCATTAAGTTTATTTTTGTTATTAGTCTGTTGTAGTAGATTGGTAAATACAATGGAAAATATAGACAAATATGCGTTTTATTTAAAGATACGAAGAAGATATAACTCTCAAAAAGATCCGCAAATCGGATTATTACACGGCGATTGGCAACATTGACTTTAGGACAGCGCTCTAAAGGGAGCGTTCTAAAAGGAGACAGATAGTTGAACGATATTTTATACAATGTCTATCACCTGGTATGGATTTATTTTTGTCCAAGTTTTATATTGGTCCACTATTTCAAATGCAGTTCAAACAGACATATATTAAAATGTATGATCCATTTTAAATTCGTTCAATCTGTATATATACTTTTATAGAAAATATTAACATACCTGGAGGACCAACAAGTAAAACTCCTTTTGGTAACTTGCCACCCAAATTTGAGAACTTATCTGGACTTCTCAAAAATTCGACTACATCCTTTAGTTCTTGTTTAGCCTCATCTACTCCTTTTACATCTTCAAAAGTTACATGGATTTCTTCAGGATCCACCTCTACCTGATTCCCTAATTGAATTCTACAATTTTTGAGAAATTTCAGAATAAAATACACCTTTTTAATTAAATCATAAAAATACAGTATATTATTTTCAAGTTTTAATTGTTATTCATAACGAATGTTTACATAACACAAAAAATATAATGTACAATATTTTTTATAATTTTGTGTAGAATGAAGATTTTTTTAATAGATCAATAATATATTATGTATAAATAATGTTATCATAAGCCTACCTAAGTTGAGATATCTTGCTGAAAATGGTATTTTTATTTTCAAAACTCTATAAGAATTAAGTGTTGTTAAAATCAAGCAATAATACTGATTATTTTCCAAATTATTACTTGACATGTTTTAGAAATTTGCTTTGTTAATATAAACATTATTTATTTTTTGCCAATCCTTATTGTTAAAAATCTTATTATTTTCTTTTTTCATATTTTCACATTCTTGTTTCTTTGACGGTCCTTATCTTTTTATGTTCTGCAAAATATGTATTTAAAATTTGTTTTTGTTCTTGGGTCCATAGTATTAAAATTCTTTTCTTCTTTAAGTCAACTCTTATTTTGTGGTCTTCTTTTTCAGTTTTTCAAGTTTTGCTAAAGATAAATCACTTTATCTTTTTCTTCAATATTTTCATTGGTTTCATTTAAATTAATGTCATTTTCATTTAGTTACATATCTTTAAAATGAGATGCTTCTTCTTTTCCATTTTTATGTATTCTCACAGTATGGACCATAAACGTTGCTAATTGATCAACATCTGACTATAATTTTGAGTAATTGTATGAGAGTAATTGTATGTATAAGAATGTAATATTTCCAAATAAATATATGTTATTTTGTTGATAATATTATCAAGATACTTAAATATTCTAGTTAACTGATCTGGAATATCTTTTGAAAACATAACCAGTAAGCTTCTACCCCTTTTACCCTTAATCACAATGTGTTTCAATCTTTTCATTCAATATTTTCAGTGAGACTTACTATATCTGAAAATTCTTCACATTTTGTTGTTCTTTATTAGGTTTTTCATATAAGTAAGTAAAACAGCAACCTCTGTAATTTTCCTAGTCTACTTATATTTGAGTGTAACACTCTGCAATATAGGTACAGTATTCATATAACTTGATATCTTTATTATTTTTTGTTACTTTTCCGTATTTATTACATATTCTTTGAACACATTCAAATCAGTTGCAAGAGGTAATACGTAATTTTATTCCACTTATTTACTTGTAAGTACTGGCAGCCTTACTACATATTTTATATTAGGTGTGTCATAGTTTTCATAGTTGCTTTAGCCTTAGCAACGGGTATTGTAGAATACAATTATTTTCTCTTTAAAACAAGAACTTGCAGTGTCAACATAGTTTTAGGCTAGGCTTTCACATAATTATATTGTGCTAAGGTTACAAGGATGGAAGATGTACCACAAACCAATTGGCCAGTATGAGCAGTTATAACACATAGCAGTTACACACAACTACACAAGTTTATCACTGTAATATTAGACAAAATCAAGTGTGGCACATTGCTGGCTTCCAGAAAAGAAATTCATTTGTGAATGGAAAATGTAAGCCCATAAGAACATGGAGTGTAATATACAATCACAAATTAGTTTAGAAAACACTTTTGTTCAAGGTTCTAACACATTTTACTTAATTTTAATACAATATACAGCACAATTTATATATACTTCATCTAATTTAGATAACGACTTACGTCATTATCTACGTCAGAGATCGAAGTTGACATAGTTGCCAAAGTATAAAAAAATCCTGACTCCATTTTAAATCAAATAGATTACATAATTATTGCAAAAGTATTACCATCTCTTTACAACAACTATTTAAATTTTTACGTGAAATTTTTGAAATAAAAACACACTAATTTTGTTCTAAAAAGAACAGATTTTATTAAATAGTTAAAAATATAAAACAAGAGATATTCACTTTAAAATTCAAAATAATAAAGTACAAAAAGTGTCAACATCGCAACTGTCAAATAAGTGTTACCAATTTATGCCAAAATTTTACCTTCGTTCGATTACAGTTACAGTGTGTTCCGAACAAATGTTCTTCATAAAAACGCTTTATAATGCATTTATACAAATTAAATGAAACATATTACTGTGTATTTATTTAAGTTGACATTAATAGAAATTTTTAAATATTATTTCTACGCGTATATAATGAAATATGTCTAGTGGCTGTAATGCCAGTGTACTCGGTAAAGTGATTGTAAAAAAGAACACACCTACACCCTAAATATTTTGTGTTGGTATCATGTGACGTCACAGGCTATGACGCCGATGACGTGCATCGTTATATAAATTAGATGAAGTGTATATTGTTATTAATTTTAGTATCCAAATTTTGTTTACTATTTTTCTTATTTTAAATAAGAACACTTTTACCCACTTACCTGAATACAGATCCACTGGCACTAGCTATAAGGCTAAATATAATGGCCAAAAATATAAAAACAGTTAAAATTTGTGTAGCTACTTTTAAGTATCTTGTAGATTTTCCTGGTTTAGGAGTAGCATTGTTTCCCATCAAATATCCTTCAGCAAAAGCAACTTTCAACCTCTGCTTCTCCGATTCATTTACTCCATCTTCAGAAGTTAACATATGTTTTAACTTCTCTGGAGAATTTGGTAATTTTGAAGAAATGGTAGTACTTGCATCTGACCCTGTAATGCCGAAGGCTTGTTTAACTCTATCTGTTAAAGGGGGATTTCTGTTAAGTTCAGCTTTTATGCTTCTGTCAGTCTTAAAAGTTCTTAATTGGGTTTTAAATAAACTTGGACGTTGAAATAACAAACCATCAACTAATTTTTGATAGAGTGTGGTTGGAACATATATACAATCTTTCTTAAATATTATTGTGGGAACAGTTTTATTTAAATCGCTTTCGGAAAAACCATGTTTATTCTCAAAGAAAGTGTTACTTGAGGTATAGGAGACTTTAAAATTATTAATAAAGTGATTTCCAAATAAATCTTTTGTATTCAAATGCTTTGCAAATGAAAAGTCACAATTTTTAACAGCTTCTAGAAAACTATCTAAACAGATAAAACTCTGAGCATGTTTAGATTTCTTAGCAGAAGTCTTCTTTAAGTGAACAGAGTGCCTGGTGTTTATTTTAGTGGAGAACTGTGATAATGTAGCAAATGCCTGAAACAGAACGCATATAGTTTTTTTATTAAGGTGTACATTTTATGTTTCATACCTGATTAGGATTTTGTAGTGAAAACATTATTTTTTACATATATGATGAAGATGAAGTGTTTTTGATGAGAAAAAACTACAATTTTGTAATGATGAAATTAACCTATTTGACAGCTGAGAACCAGACCAGACAGGCTGCTGAACTTTTAATAGAGATGTGAGATGTGATATCAAAATAACGGAACCGATTCTTAAGAGTTAGTTATCTATTATGTAGGATGGCTAAAAAATATTCTAAACAGAAGAATTCTAAATACCACAGAAAAAACTTTTCATTTGACTGATAGGACTTTTCATCAAAAAATAGTCTCAGCCATTTTTGTCGAACAGACATTTTGTAAACAAACAGTTTGGGTCACGGTCAGAGAACATACGAACACAGAGAAGCGACACGAGGCCCGGAATTCGTGTCTCTTTTCTGTATACGCATGACCCAAATAAGGTGCTTTACTGTCAAAAACACGTGCGTTTTCTTCAACTTTAAGTTGCTTACGATAGTCCGTAGGCATCTGTGGTAAACTCTCGACTATACAAGTCTGATACAAGTGCATTTGACCATTTATCTAATTATTTAGTAGTTAAAAGTTTATAGTTATAGTTTATAGTTATAGTTAAAATATATAAGTTAAATATATAAGTTTATAGTTATAGTTTATAGTTAAAAGTTTAATTTATAAGTATTTAAAATGTCTTCTGGTTATTGTTGTGCGTTTCGCGGATGTTCATCTGTGATAGGAAAAGGAATAAGTTTATTTAGATTTCCTAAGAATAATAACATGTAATTACTATTGCTTTGTAATTATTATTAGTTATTACATAATAGTATTAATTTGACTTTGAGTAAGCCGACACCGACGTGTCCGCCCGAGCTCTCGTAAAGTGAAGCAATAAAAAAATAAATTTTGGTTTGCCAAGGGATAGTTCAGAATAAAAACCAGAGAATTACGAACACACATTAAATTTATTGTCTCCGAAGGCTCAGGTCAAAAAATCAACACAGATGTTGGCCTACTGGTGTGAAAGCGCTCGCAGACAACAATACGAATATAGTATTTTTAGGAAATAAAAATATATAGAGGGTTTTATACACGAGAATATTTGATTTAAACGAAACAAAGAAATTCCTAAAATGCTCAAACTAAAAATTGTTGGAGACATAATTAGATCGAAAATTGGGAAAATCTTAAAATTATAACAGAACAAGACTTCAAAATAAAAACATGATTGCAAATAAACAAACTTACATTAACATAACTTCAAATATTTGCTGTCTTTTTCACCAAACAAACTTACATTAAATTATGAAAAAACTAAATGCTCATCTACTTTTTGCTATATACAAAAGTTGTCTGTCAATGTTTAATTCGTTACATATAAATAACAAAGATCAAATATATGGATCGGAGTACACAACATATTTAGGGAATAAATATTTAAATGGGAATTACAAATAAAAAATATTAAAACTTTATTTATTGTATATCTCAATATTTAGTGACAATTCTGTGACTTAATCAGGAGAAAACTGTAAATTTATTAAGATGAGATATTGACAAAAGTTAAATACTTCATTATTTACAATACACTTCGAATATACTAATACTCTTATAGTTGTAAGTAATGAAGTATTATTTATAAATACAAATATATTTCATGTGCAATATTTCATATTTATTGAAAGTCAACATAAATGCTAAATTTTATTTAAGAATTTATATTGTGTAATATGCCCACTGACTATTAAAAAATAAGGTGCTTTCCTGTCATTTTCACTCGTTGGCGGCTTGCCCACGCAAGATGAAAGGAGTGTCGCTTCTCTGCGTTCGTAGTTCTCTGGTCACGGTTCCTAGACTTACTACGGTTGCCTCTTCCGCCTAACCAATGAACATTAAGCCGGATTGTACTCCTGTGACGTAATTTGAATCTTAACATTCAGCCCTGTGATTGGATGGATGTATCAAAACAAAAATGTTTTATAAATAAAGTAGGTTGATTTCATGTAATCTAATGAACTATTTTACAATAAAGCCAAGTTAAAGTTATTTATTTATGTTAATATACAATAAAGTACTTACATATGTCAAAAAATAGAATAAAATAAAAATTAAAATATTAAAAACATAAGGTATAATAATGCATATAAGGCAAATATGTTATATATACGTTAAGGCAAACATTACACAGAATATTATATTCTGGGTTCCCAGGTATACACAAAATAGGATTCATCATCATGAATACACAAGCCAGTTCGAAACATTAAAGTTAAAATTTAGGAATTCATTACTTGAAAACTGCTTCCCCTTCAACCAATGGACTCTTTGCTTCACCACAATACTCAAAGATATCATTAAGGTTAATTTCCATTATTAAATGATACAAATAACTCGTCTTAAACCAAACTAAACATGGAAAAGCAATGGTAAATATTCGAATGTTATGTTTGTTTTTGTTTATACCATTTATATCGGCCATGACACTGCAATCGACCTGCCCTCTACATCATCGAGCAATAAGACAAAAGAGGGAATCTAATCCTTATGAAAAGGAGACCAAAAAAGTGGCCTCTGATGGCGGACATATCCGGAAATGCGAATGCGCGAAATTTAAATTTTCCGACACTTATCAACAGTAGCTATATAATATTTTTCAGAATGTGTCTTAGACGAAAAAGTTTTAATTAATTATTAGTGATAAGAGTGTAAAATGCGACACAATTGTTAAAAAACTTCAATATAAATAAAATTTCATGTGACATTTGGGACAAACAATAACATAACCCAACTAAATTTGATGTCAAACAAGGAGAGAGATTCTCTTTCCTTGTTTAATGTGGCCTCTAAAGATCGCACTTCCTGTCTAACAATATGTTTGCCCCCACTACCTTTACATTCCCTCTATTGTCTTTTTGCTCGATGCTCTACATTCAGTTTCAATCGCGAATAAATGGGTTTTGTATTCTTGTGTACTCCTGTGACGTAACTCAAGCATCCCCACCCCAGTCGGAAGAGGCAACCGTAGTAAGTCTACGAACCGTGAGTTTGGGTTAGCAATATATAAATAACAAGCATAATATTGTTTCGTAAAAATTAGTCATTTAAAAAAAACTTGTAAACATGTTGTTTATTTACTAATATGTTTGTAGACGCGACGAGACGAGACCCTTCGATCAGCTGGCAGAGCAGTACGTATGACGTAAAATATATATTATACGTGTTTGTCAAATCTGTCTGTACGAAAAACATGGCGGTGGATATGAATGTCATATGTTCCTGGTACCACAGAATAATAAACAATTGATTATTATTCTGTGCTGGTACCATGTCTATGACCTATCTCTGATATCTTTGAATCTGTGATTTTATATCTTCTGTGATTTGGGCTATGAATACATACAAATGTGACTGTATAACCGAAATAAAGTACTCACTTATTCACTCCGTGGTTTTATTACGTTTGTCTAAAAGTGAGGTTATACTATTTGACATAATTAATATCAACAAGAAAAGTATTCAAAAAAGTTAATTTCAATTTCAGAAGTGTTGAGTAGACAATTTTTACCTATAACAAATAAGAAACAAGTAAATATTTTGTTATTTATAAAAATGTAAGAATGTCAGGGGAAGAATCTGCTGAAATTCGTCAAAATAATGAGTTAGAAGCTTTACAAGTATGTACAAAATAATTTATTATATGTATGATAAAAAGTTTTTAGGAACAGTTGTTATTAAATAATATGCCCCCGATGACTGAATATTAAGGTGATATGTTTAGTAAATAATTGTATGAGATGTGGATGAACATAATATTTGCTTTAAACCATTGTAATTTGTTACATCATTATTATTTCCTTTGTACCCCTATCATAATCATCATCATCATTGGTACTACAACTCCAAAGTATAGCCTCTAACTTTCTAAGTCTTTGTACTCATTCAGTCTTATTCATTGACATTTGCGAGTTTGTTGCAGGAATTTGATACATGAAAACAATAGTACATGAACCATGCAAAATGTATTTTGCTAAAGAAATAACTAGTCATAACTTTCTTATCATACAGAGAACTGCATTTATATTTTGAATATAACTTATAAACTGAATACTAGATTACTTAACAGTACTTTTGTGAAAAATTGTACCAATATTAAAAAAAAAGACACTTATCTTACTGTCGCACAGAAATGCTACTGGAAATGTATTGCAATAAAAGTGAATATCTCACTGTCAAACAACATATTTAGAAACAATTTTAAACATATCTGATGAATAATCTTACTTGAAGGTTCAATTTAACAGGGAAAATTTTCAATTACATTATATTTTCGGGAAGAAAAGACACTGTTATATTTATAAGGTAACATTCTATTAAAAAGAGGTTTTGAATTATAAAAAATAGAATAAAACAAAAATTAACATTTCTTTTTCAGCAATAAAAATAATTAAAATCAAACTTCTTAGAAATTACTTATCTAGCTAATTTTCTTCACTGGATGTTGCATCAGCTTCAGCTTGTGCCCTATTGATGAAATCATGGGTAGCTTCATAAAATAGCAGTTCTTTACATCAATTCACTACTCTACATGAATCCTTTCAATTTTTTTTTTTCTAAGCAGGATTAAATTAAAAACTGCTTAAAACACTAATAAAATTTAGACATTAAATGAGAAGTAAAAAATTCAAAGAATATCTGCCATTAAAAGATTTGATGAGTAACAATTGTCAAAATTTAAAAGTCAAATATCATCTGATTAATGACAACATCAAATCATTTGAACTTCATAATATTTCTCATTTTAAAATAATTTTATATAAATTCAATTACCATTTTTAAACATATTATTTACTTTGGGTATAATGATTAAATTTACTATCAAATGCTATTTATTTATATTTTATAATTAATTTAATATTTGGTCTGAATTTGACAGGTATGTCAGAAGCAAACAACATATGCTTAGTTAATATGTTAACAAGTGGCATTAGGAGCCAACCTAATAATTTATTGAATTTGTTTAAAATATAAAAATAAATAAATAATAAAATTACTTTTTAATTTTTAACATATTGTTTAAATTTTAAAAATACAGAAAATATAGTATGTAGCTTCACACTAGTCTACAATAACACCTACTGTTCCACGTTTTTTGGTATTATCTGTAGGTTTAAAAAAACTCCACATGAACAGTAGGTATTTGCCCCTTATCTTACAGCTGCTGAATTTTCTTTATACCTGATGTATATTGTTTTAAAATCCTTGTTTTGATGTAGTGAGACATTCCAAGAAAAGGGTGTCTTTGTCTTATACAGCCTAACAACCCAAGGTAAAGGTAAAATTTTTACCCATTTTTTCAGTAACATCTATCATTTCTAAGATAGTGTACCTATGGCTCTTCTTTGAACATTTGGTTATTGTCACCAATTCCGAAGGAACATACAGTGGGTCACTTTTCAATACTCTTTTTCTCTTTTTTTTATGCATGCATGCATAGAATCACCTTCATTTGTTGTATGTTTTTCACACAATACAGATATATGCAGATTTTTATATATATATATATATATATATATATATATATATATATACATATATATATATATATATATATATATATATATATATATATATATATATATATATATATATATAGAGAGAGAGAGAGAGAGAGAGAGAGAGAGAGAGAGAGAGAGAAAGAAAGAAAGAAAGAGAGGGAGAAAGAGAGAAAAATATATTTGATTTTATTCTGACCTGCACAGTTAATAGTATAAAATATGACATTTTGTTTTTGTTTGTTTTCTGAAATCATTTTCAATTAGTGATAAACACAAGTAATGATTTCATTCGTGTCTCATTTTGCAAGTCCCTTGTGCATAAACAACAATAACCTTGTTTTTGAAATAGTTCAAATATGTTAAAATTTAGAATGTTCAATTGAGATTTATAATAAAATTTTGTAACTTCATCTTGAGGTAGAGGTAGAATCATCACAGCTTGAAGATCATAACAACAAACCACAAGATCTTACATTTCCAAGCATATCTTTTGGTCAGATTGTTTACTTTCTCTGGACAATTTAACTCCGTGAAAATGGGTCTCATGTTCTAAACTTATATCTTCCAGTTTCCTTTTACTATTTTTAAATAATTCATATGTAAGCACTGATCCTTTTTTGGTTTTTGGAACCCTATATTGAACTTGTATTGAAAATTCTTTCATCAATTGATTTTTTGACATACTTAATCTTGTTTTTTTTCCATACATTTTTCTTTGTAGAGCCTATATAGCATTGATAAATTCAGTGACTTTCCAGGTATTTTTTTGTTCTTGCTCTACAGTAATATGACTCGATGTGAGGGAACAAATTTTTGTGCTGCATAATCTATTCAGTTTTTCATTTTTCAATTTTTTTTAATGGTTGTCATGTTTTCCCTTCTTTTTTCATCCACACATCCAGTTTAGGTTGTTTTAGCAACAATTGTTGCCATATCATTGTTTAAAATATCAAGCATGGCATTAAAAATCTTTTTACAGACCCTCACTTATTTGTCATTTAACAGGAAATGGTAAGCCTTATTAACTGAATGTTGACAGTTACTATATTTATTGTTAGGTGAAATAGGAGTCATACATTTTGATATGTAATCTCTATGGCGACTCTTGTCCACTAATTCATAAACTTTTCTTCTCAGTGGTTCCCTATATTATTCATTTATTATTTCTGGACATTTATATAAACAGTTATCGCATGGCAGTTTTAGTTTTTTGGCTTCATGCAACCTGCTCAGTCTTGACAAATAGCTGGGGCCTGTTACAATCTTATGTTTCTTTACATTTCTCTTCCACTTCTCCCAATGGATCATTATTTTCTAGTAGAAGTTTTTTCATGTAGACTAGGATCTTTCATTTGAGTCAACACATCTCATTTGGCTCATCAGTGTAGCTCAAATTATCAGCTGGGGTGGAAGATCCCTTCAATTCATCTAGTGTATGTGGATATTCATTTTCATTAATATCTTTTAGTAAAAAAATAAATCTTACTTGATCTTGAGTCAGGAAAACTGTAGTCCTATATCTATATCATCCACATCTTTTGAGTCACTTAGATTAAAACCATGAAAATACTGGGCAGAGTTTTCTGCAATATATTCGTCTGTGAATTTGTAAGCAGTTCCAGCAAGGTCAAACTCTTCCTTTTCTACATCACCTAAAAACCAATTTTATTATATCTGCTTAAAATTTTTGCATACCTATTTCTAAATTTGCTCACCACATTTAGCAAACGAGGAAACTATTCACACAAACACGTTACTTTTGCAGATTCAGTTAGTCACATGATAAACAATATTAATGATTTCCACTTACCTTTTGATTAACTTTTGTTATTCTTCAACAGGGATACTATAAATTTTTCTCTTCCATTCATTTTTCGAAACTATTTTTCACAACCAGAATTTTTTACTAGAAATAGATTACTAATACATAACTAAATGCAAATAAACCTGTTGCTACAAGTCTATGATGGTGTGGCATTGACAAGATATACCAGTGTCGCTGTGTGTTTAAATTCAAATATGGTTGTATAAATTAATCAATATATTTGTCCTCCCCCTGTATTCACCCGATCCTTCTGGTACCGCTCGGGAATGCATCCCGCTAAGACACAAGAGATTTAGTCGTTAAGAGGGACAGACGCGCCCCGCTAGTGAAATGATGCACTCATATTGAAGTCATTTTGTTCGTTGTTTTGTATAGTAGTGTATCCCATGGTAATTAGCGGTACGGTAAGGTCACCTGTTTCACCTGTTCACCAAGAACCTTGAAATTGTTTTTGATTGTTTATAATATAATAAAATATTTATTAATTGGTATTAATTTAATTACTATTAATTCGTAATAGTTCATATTTGTTGAACCCCCACACTGTGACATCGCAAATAATAATTTGAAGTCACGATTTCATTCAACACTGATTGTTATTTTCACTGTGGGATACATACAACTTTAAAAAGGGATACATTGGTTTAATCACTGCAGAGAAAACTTTTGTGTAGTTATACATATCTGTGTATTACCATTCTATAGTGTAAGAAATTCTATGTAAATAGTATATTAAAAAAAAATGAAATTAGGGACTTATCTCACTGTTGCTATGAGGTATCGAATTGTCCTTGCATCCTCATCAACTCAATCCTTTCCTCCAGGAGTAGGCAGATTAAGACCTCAGTGCCGTTTGACGATTCTTGTATTTATACAGAACATGATACTGGTACGTCACGAGTGAAGGAGTGGGCATATTGAGACCTTGAACTCCAATGAAACCGTATCCCTCTTGAAAATTGCTCCAAAATGGGTGCCGAAACGTCGATCATTAAATCCTCAAAACGGTTATTCCCGAGAACTTAGTAATTTTCATATATATATATATTATATATATATATATATATATATATATACGAGTATATATATATATATATATATATATATATATATATATATATATATATACGAGTATATATATATATATATATATATATATATATATATATATATATATATATATATAATATACGAAGAAGGTTGCGTTCCGATTCAATTTGAGTCTCTTACCACTCCCTGACACGTGTTTCTGGGTCTACCCGTCATCAGAAGAGGTTTGTAAGAAGACTCAAACCAAATCAAAACGCACCGATTACTCTGGCAATTACAGGAAAATAACTACCAGAGTATGCAACTAGAGACCTCTAGTGAGGAAACTATATACCCAAGCTTAATCAAGCCATTCAGAGCCGTGCTGGGAATAAATATATTCCACTATGCACCAACAATTTACCCATATAAATTATCATCATTCTTGTACTCATTGCGTCGAGTAAGGACGATAAATATACGAAGAAGGTTGCGTTTCGATTTAATTTGAGTCTCTTACCACTCCCTGACACGTGTTTCTGGGTCTACCCGTCATCAGAACGAGTTTGTATGTATGTATGTATTTTCCTGTAATTACCAGAGTAATCGGTGCGTTTTGATTTGGTTTGAGTCTTCTTACAAACTCCATCTGATGACGGGTAGACCCAGATACACGTGTCAGGAGTGGTAAGAGACTCAAATTAAATCGAAACGCAACCTTCTTCGTATATTTATCGTCCTTACTCGACGCAATGAGTACAAGAATGATGGTAATTTATATTGGTAAATTGTTGGTGCATAGTGGAATATATGTATTCCCAGCACCGCTCTGAATGGCTTGATTAAGCTTGGGTATATAGTTTACTTTAATTGCTATCGACGTATCTTCATATTATATATATATATATATATATATATATATATATATATATATATTTACATGTATCTACATGTACTTCTAATCTGCAGGATATATAATTTAGAGACCCTATTTTATTATAGACTTATAGTAGATTATAGAAATAATATAATTTGTCCTAAAACATTTGGATTTAGTGATTCTCAAATAAGAGTAGGTATATGAGTCTAGAGACAAATACTAGTGTCATCAGTAGAATATACTTACTGAAAATTCGCTGTGATTGAAAATATTGTGCAACTGTCATTGCACAGGTATATTTGCAGGGTATATAATTTAGCGACTTCATTTATGACTCATAATAGGTTATAGAATATCGGAGTAATGAATAAGGTGACAAAAAGGAAGCAGAAAAAGAATTCACTGAAGCCAGAAAAAAGTAGTATTACTACTTAATAAAATCCTGTGTTGGGTAGATCTACAGTGAACAAGACAATAAAAAAGGTTTTTGTGAATTTGTAAAATGCTTGAGGACTTTGACATTTCAAATTGATGAAGTACTTGGAGATTTCACTGAATTCATCATTATAATATAACATAACTATATGGAAGATTTGACCAATGATTCAAGAAACTCGTTAATTTATTATTATTATTATATAATTATAAGAAAATGATTATTCATTGTAGGTAAGATAGATAAATATTTATTTGAGAAGATTTGGGAAAGGCAGGGTCGTACTTACATACATATTTTACATTTAACATATTTTTAAAATCACAAGTTATAACGTTTGTCAACATTTACAATTTTTTCTCTGGGCAACAGATCTGTACAAAAAAATTTTCTCCGTCACTCATCTGGGGTCTTCTGGTTTTTATCAGATCTACGCTATCTTTAAAATAATTTCCTTGTCTTTATCCTAAATCTTTGACGGTTTCTTTGGAATCTAAGCCGAACTTTTCGTCTTCGTGCTGTAATTCCTTTATGAACATGCTGTATATCCATGACTCCATTGTCTAAATTTTTATTATCTACTATTTACTATAATATAATAAAATATTTATTATTATTTAGTGTTTAGTTTTATTGTATATAGCATTGATTAACCTTTATACACTTTTTTATTTATTTTTATCTGAACTTTTGACAATATTTTTGTTTCATAACTTTTGTTTAAAGGCGATCTACATTGAAAATCTAAAAGACCTGCGTAAAAAGGCAGTATGGAACAAATGGTCACCTTTAAACCTTTCCATTACATTAACACCCCAACAAGGAAGCTTGGGAACAACTCATATTTACGTACAAGTTGACATGCATCTGATATGTGACGAAAACTATCCGGAGAGGTAAGGTATAGCATTTGAAAATATCAATCCTACAAATTGTGTTCATTGTTTTAATTTACCAATATTAGTAAAAAATAAAACTTAGAGAAAATACTCGTATTTTGAAAAAGTTCAATTATTAATCATTTTATTTTACAATAAGCAAACTATTACTACAGTGCCATTGCAATCAGTATACCTTGCTGAACATTAATGTATAGATGGAGTCGTTTTTGGTGATTACACAGGGTTTTCACCTAGGCAGCACATTAAACTTATCTCTGAAAATAAACGGATTTAACATATGAAATTGTATCTACATATCTGAAATATTTACAGTACACTATCACTTAACTGTAAAATCGGAAGTCACCATAAACTTTGTCATTTTTAGTAGAACACAGTCCTTCCATCTTCTCCTTGGTTTTCCTTATCTTCTATCAGCTTTGTCCGTAGTCCCACATAGTTCTTATTTATAAGTTTGACGTGGCAAAACCATTGCAGACTTATTTTTTTCCTGGAAACTTTCTGCTATAAACCGGTCGTACTGCAGCCAATTGGTTTATTGTAGATCTTCCATTCCTTCATGATACCCGTTCCAGGATTCTGGAATAATACATCCATGGAAGTGGTTGTCTCCAAAAAGTGTGTACCGCCTGCGATATAGTGCTTCGCAGTCATGCAAGATATGGTCTGCTGTTTCAGGTTTTCTGCTGCAGAGTATGCAGCTCAAGTCTTCATGAAACAATACCATTGTATGCCGGTGTTACATGACTGGCGCATGTCCAGTAAGGAAGACTGTTGTAATTCTGAGCTCATTCCTGCTTTATCACATGTCCGTCTAATATATATTTTACTACATTCCATGTATGTGGCTGTATTTTTCCAGTAAAATTTCCTGGGTCAAAGTATTTTCTAGCTAATGCCCTTCTAGTAAGTGCATCAGCTTTTTCATTGCCGTATATTTCCCGGTGACCCGGAACCCATATCACTGTGACACTGTTATGTTTCAACTGTCTGTCGAGCTCCTCTCGGAATTCCCACACTAGCCTAGAGGCCACATTAGGGCTTATGAGGGCCCCCATTGCAGTCTTTGTTTTTGAACCTTTTTCAGATTGATTTTTTTCCTAACCTCGTCGTTCCTGATCTTGTCCCTCCTAATCTTACCCAACATCCACCGTAACATTTTCATTTCAGCTACCTCCATCTTCTTTTCCTTAACCTGTTGTTCAGGCCAAACTTGTACACTAACGCATACCTCACGACACTCTTGTATATATTTATTTTCAGCCCCGATTTTTCGATCACAGAATACCCCGCTTATTCGCTTTCAGTTAAACCAACCAGCCTGTGTCCTTAGATGTCTTTCTTCTATCGATGTCTGTTTCCTTATTATTTTCATACAGTTCTCTCCCAAATTTTCATTGTTTCCGACATTAACTTTATCTCTCTATAGTTCTTACAGTTCTCAATGTTCCCTTTTTCTTTATACTGTGATACACACTCTCTTTCCATGCATTGGGCATCCTTTCTTCTTCATATATCCTACTCATCATTTGCCACGATACATCTAACCCTTTCCTAGAGCCTTGCTAGAATATCTCCACAGGTATTCCATCCGGTCCTACTGCCTTACCATTTTCATCCTCTTATTCATCCTATCTAAAGCCTCGACAAGTTCATCACTCGTTATCCCCAGTATGACATTCGTACTTGGGGTTCCGTATACTCTTTCCCCCTCTGATGTTCATATAGCAACGTTTCATTTATACTCATACTCAAGTGCTCATACCATCTTTGCTTTATTTCAACATCGGATCTTAACACTCTTCCATCAACACTCTTAATATGCCGCATGTTAGTCAAGTCCTTTGATGACTTCTCCCTTGCTTTAAGCAATGCTCTATAACCTTTTTATCCTTGGTCGTTTTCAACTTTTCATGCATCTTTGCAGATGATCTTTCTTTAGCAGTAAGTACAGCGCGCCTTGCTTCCCTCTTTGCTACCTTGTAGGTATCCTTATCTTCCTCTCTTTTAGACCTGTCATACCTGTTTCTAGCATCTTCCTTTTCCCTAACCTTATATGGCACTTCATCGTTCTACCACAAAATCCCTTTGTCCCTAGGAGACCTTTACCAGATAGTTTTTCTAGCATTTCGTCTCCACTCGTACCACAACTTTGCTATTGGTTTCCCACCAGTTATTTACCCTCTTTTTCCTCAAACTGTTCTAGCACTCTACTCTTGAATCAAAAAAATGCCCTGTATACTTATCGAAAATATGTTGAAGAGAATCGGGCTTAATACAGACCCCTGTGGTATTCCTATAAGAGTTATTCTTGGACCTGATATGGTCTCTGCTAGCTATATAAAGTTCGGCTGCTAGAAATATTTACTAGTATATTAGCGGAAAAAATTTGTGGACAACCCCAGTTTGCATAACTGTAAATGCATTACTGTTAAATTAACAGTCGTAAGAGCCTATAAGATCTAGAAAAAAAAAACATGCTAAATATTTATTTTTAGAAAAATTTAGTTGGATATCTGTTGTTAAGTGACTTATTGCATTTAGTGTACCAAGGCCAGATCGATATCCATACTGAGTGCTTGGCAAAAGGTTATAGTGTCCGATTGTCCAGTTAAGACGATTTTTGATAATTGGTTAGAAAGTTTTTGTTATACCTTTAAGATCGTAATCATTATTTTAATGGCCAATTTCAAATTTTCCACATTCAAAATAAAGGGCTTAAGCTAAAGAGCTTAGAACCAATGGAAATTAATAAATTAAAAATACAGATATAACTCTGAATGGCCAATTTGAGACAAACAGCGCTCCTCTCCTTAACTTATTCAGTTAACGACTATTTATAAATTATATAAGTACATATACTATAAATTATAATAAATTTTGTGGAAGTGCAGAAAACAAAACTTTTCAGTGTTTTATTATATTATGCAATGCTGTTTATTTTAAAATTGCAAACGTCAATTAGTCACGTTTGAAAACAACTTGTTTTTTAACATACCAAGTTATTTGTAATCTCTAAATTTAATTACAATAAACAAATTACTAATACTTATAATTACATATTAGGTAGAATTTTTATCCAACAAAAACAGTATTACATAGAGACCAATGGTGTAGAGAAGGGGAGGTCTACGTTAAAGAGAAATGGAATAAGGGGATAGATACAATTTTTCCTTAAAATAAACTGATACACGTGATAAACTTCCTTAAACTTCAAAACAGTTGTATTCAAGATAAGGTATTAAGCCAATTTTTGTGATCAGCTACACAACATATGTGTTTGAAACAGAAAAACGATATATCATCATTCTAATATTGAACATAACATAACCTAAGAGTGTGGCTGTAGTTGACGTGCCTCGTATTTTACATAGGCACATAATTACTTTTGATGCCTACTTTATAGTGATAACACGTGCAATATTTAAAGAAGTTAATTTATCAAGTCTGTTATGATATATCTTCAAATGTATTCAAAAAGATACTTTCTTGTCATTCTGCTAATTTCATTCTGCTCCAAGAAAATACTGGTCTTATTATTTTCGATTAGATTCTTTGTAACTTGTGATATATTCTATTTATTGAATGTGTGGTCCCAACAGACTAGTAAAATTATTAATTAATATTGTGCTATGCTGGTCAAATTTTGACCTCGACTAAAAGTGGCTGGAAGTTTTATATATATTGGCAGTAAAAAATTAGTTACATACAGTTTATTAAGACCAATTTAATATAACCGCCAGAAAATTTAACATGCTAATTTCCCACTGAAACGCTCAATACTCCGGGAGTATTGGGTTTTTGGAAGTGTAGAACTTCCAAATTTCAGAAGAACTGAAAGAGAAGTGATGAAAAAAAAATACTAAAAATAGGGCTAAGCTCAGAGGAACAAATTTAAATGGCCAAAGAGACACTAAATCTCAAGTGAGTGTTCGGGCTAGCTTCAATGCACTGGATTGTGGCTTTAAAGATATAAACAACAATAACAAGAGATAATGAGCTAATGAGACAAGAAAGAAATGAGACCTGGTAATATCAAACGTGATACAACTGAAGAAGGTCACTGGGAATAAATTTATAGAAAGAGAACAATAGGAAGAGAAAAGAAGGGCGCCAACTCAACGATAGTTGAGATTTTGAAGTAACAAATGAATCTGGAGATAATACTCTGAAATACAAAAATACTAAATAATAATCTTGTTTTGCTATGTTATAATATTGTTAGTAGAACTGAAATAAAACTCAAAATAGCAACAATAAAATATATTTATAAAAAATGTATATAGGTATATGTGTATAAAACAATTTACATATAATGCAAAGCCAAATAACAGTGGTAGTGGATGGTGTACAGATACCATGGGACCTAATAGCCCCTCAACAAACGAATAGTCACTACCACTGGCCAAATAAAATATGAAATATTAGTAAACAACAAGAATAGTCCGTATTATAGCCAAAGTCTTAACACAAAAAGGTAGTAATTTAACTTTAAATAGTTCTACTAATATGAGATACAAATATTGTAAATATATCAAACTTGATAAATCTGTTACAATTATTATATTATATCCAAAAAGTGAGTCTTCAATACTCTTTATATAATGTTTAAAAAAAACCACATGAAATTTATTTCCCTTCCCAATATCAAAATTATTTTATATCAAATGTATAGTATTAAAAAAAAATATTATATCAAAAGTGAGTTTGGTCAGTACTCTTAAAATCCTATTTAAAAAAAACTAATAAAAACAGGTAATATATTTTCCCTCTCCCAATAATATCAAAATTATATTTTATCAAAATGTAGTTACTTGATCATATGCATATGAAAAGTTAACAGTAAATAGAAAGTAATACGTAATACAAAAAGTCAAATAGTTAAACAACTTATCTTTACAGCACTATAAGTCCATAGGAAAAACTCCTCTTGGCACGGCTACATCAGTTTATGGCTGTAAAGACGAATCCTGGTCACAAAAGCCACAACCAGT